TTCGGTTTTTTGAGACAGGGTCTCACTGTATAGCTGAGACTGACCTGGAACGCACTAGCCCAGGCTGGTCTCGAACTCACAGTGATCCTCCTGCCTCAGCCTCCCAAGTGCTGGGATTACAAGCGTGCACCACCATAACTGGCCAGTAGCCTCCTGTATTTGTAAATAAAGTTTTTTTTGAACCAGCTGTGCTCATTGGTTTTTGTATTGCCTGTGACTGCTTTTGAATTACAAGGGCCTAAAACTGATAGTTGTATAAAAATGCTATGGCCTGCAAAGCCAGAAATACTTATTGTCCCGCTCACCACAGAAAATGGTTGCCGTTTCCTATTTAGCATACCTTGTGATAGCAAAGGTATTGCTCCCTTTGTAGTAATAAAAATGTATTGCTTTTCTTGTTTTCATAAGAACAAGTTATAGCTGGGCATGGTGGCACAGGCCTGTAATCCCAGCACTTGGGAGGCTGAGGCAGGAGGATCACTTGCTGTGAGTTTGAGACCAGCCTGGGCTACACAGTGAGTTCCAGAGCAGTCTAAACTACATAGTGAGACCCTGTCTCAAAAAAACAAAACAAAACAAAACAAATCTATAACTTGTTCTTTTTTTTCTTTTCCCCCCCTTGGTTTTTTTGAGACCGGGTCTCACTATGTAGTTCAGACTGCTCTGGAACTCATTATGTAGCCCAGGCTGGTCTCTAACTCTCAGCGATCCTCCTGCCTCAGCCTTCTGTGTGCTAGGATTACAGGGGTGCACCACCATGCCTGGCTTAGATAATGTTTAATATTTAATATAAACTAGAATAAGAGGGAATCTTCAGTGTCATTTAGTTCATTCTTTTTTTTTCACAAAGATAGAGTTGAGACTGAAGGAGAGATTTGCTGCAGATCTCACTAAGCCTGTAATAAAGCCACAGTTTATTTTGGAAATTTGGTATCTAAAAGACATTTGCTGGGCTGGGGATTTAGCTCAGTAGTTCTGCCGCTTGCCTCACAAGCACAGGGTCCCAAGTTCGATCCCTAGTACCAAAAAAAAAAGATATTTGCTATCATGATTCCATTCTCAGTGCTTAAGGGACAATATTCATAAGACTAAAAAGAAACCTGAAGCAGTAGTATGTGCCTATACTTCCAGGAGGTTGAGGCAGGAGGATCCTTTGAGCCTACTACTTCAAGACCTATCTAGCAACATACTGGGGTCCTGTTTCACAAAATAAGTAAAACGACAAAAGGAAAAGGAAATAGATTCAATAGAGGCCAGATTATTTTCTTTTTTTCCTTCTTTTTTGGTGGTACTAGGGATTTAACTTAGGCTTTTATCCTAAACTACATTCCTAGTTTTAAAATTTTTTTTATTTTTATTTTGAGACAGGATCTCCGTAAGTTGCTAAATTCCTCCCTGGACTTGAACTTGTAATCCTCCTACCTCAACTTCCCAGGGTGCTCAGATCACAGGTGTGTGCCACAGTGCCTGATAATTTCAGAGTCTTTCAGATAATTTTTTGGGGGGTGGTACTGAGGATAGAACCCAAGCCTTCATGCACACAAAGCGTATACTCTACAACTGAGCTATACCCCTAGCCCTTTAAGGTAAAGATTTTTTTTGCCATGCTAGGGATCTAACCTTGGGATGTGCTGCCACTGAACTACATTCCCAGCCCTTTAAAATTTTTTTGGGCCCGGGATTTAGCTCAGCGAGTGGCACAGAACCTGCCTCTCAAATACAAGGTCCTGAGTTCAATCCCTGGCTTAAAAAAAATTTCTTTTTGTACTGGGGATTGAACTTGGGTCCTTGCGCTTGCAAGGCAGGCCACCGAACCACTGAGCTAAATCCCCGGCCCCTAAAAATTTCTTTTTTGAGACAGGGTCAAGTTGCTAAGTTGCTTTGGTTGGGATCAAGCCGGGAGTGCTCCTGCCTTAGTCTTCTAGATGCTGGAATTATAGGTGTGTACCACCATATGTGGCTTCAACTTGTTGACTTGTGGCTATAATTCTTTCTTCAAACTTTTTTTTGTTTGTTTGTTTATTGGGCCAGAGTTTTGCTGTGTATTCCAGGGTGGCCTTGAATTCACTATGTAGCCTAAGCTAGCCTTGAACTCATGGTGGTCCTCCTGCCTCAGCCTCCCAAGTGCTGGGAATACAAATGTGTATTCCTACCATGCCCAGCTCTTCAAACTCTTAAATGTGTCTTCAGTTTAGTGTTTTTTTACACAGGAAGTTTGCTTTTAGTATACTTTTATTTGAATTGGCACTTTCATGAGCAGTATAGATTTTGTCAAAAGAGTAAAGATAATGAGGAATTTGGTGAATGAGGAACAGTTTCTGGGCTACATGGGCATTTTTCCAGTCGTGTCTAATACTGTGGCATATAGTGATACCTAAGTATTCCATTAAATTTCTGTTTTGGAATTTATTGTAGGTCGCGAAGGAGTTTGGCTTCCAAAACAATGGCTTCTCAGTTTACCTCAATAGAAACAAGACTGGAGAGATAACAGCATCATCTAGCAAATCCCTCCACTTGCTGAAAATCAAGTAAGTGCCACTCAGAAGGGCCCCAGAAACGGGGAGGAATCATGACCCCCGTGACCCATGTAAGGATCCCTGGGTTCATTGTATTTCCTCCTTATGCCACTAATTAGGTTCTTGTAAATTCCACCATCCAGGTGATTGTGTTGCTTGGCAAGTGTGCTCCTGTCATACTGGGTGCGCACTTACTGTTGAGCAGGGTTTTTTTTTTTTTTTACTTTTTCCCCCCAAGTTTTGGGATTCAAATTTAGAACCTTGCACTTGCAAGGCAGGCACAGTGTCACTGAGCTAAATCATTCAGTCCATGGTTGGCTTGCTCCAGGACAGAAATATCATGGCAGAGTAAAGCTCCTCAACCCGTGGCAGTCTGGAAGCAGAGAGAAAGAAGGGGCCAGGGAGAAGGACACAGCCTTGCGGGTCATACCCTAGGGAGCTGCCTGCAGCCAGGCTCAACCTCTTAACATCACCTTCAGCTCTGAGCCTGTCAGGATGAAATCACTGATGAGTACAACACCTGTATGATCTGATCACCTGCCGAAAGCCCACCTCTGAACACAGGAGACTTGAGGGAACATTTAGATGGAAACCAGAGCAGCTGCATACTCAGCCCCATCTCTGCAGGGAAGGACCTTGACTGCACCGATGTGTGAGAACATGCTGCCTCATCAGCTCTGCTTGCTTGGAGGGAGAGCTGCAGGGTAGTGGCGCACCGTCATTCCTTTGCGTCGGTTACTTGCATTAGTGATGCTGCCAGCTTGCAGAGACCTCTTAACCTGCTGCCTGTATGTATAACGCGTCCCCTGGCCAGGGCTGTTTTTGTGTTGAGTGGCTGTGATAGACCATATGACCTGTGGAGCTGAGAATATTTGCTCTTTGCCCCTTTGCAGGACAAGTTTGCTGTTTGTCTGCACTGCCTGGGCACCTGCTCAAACACCAGCAAGCAGAGCCCATGACTGCCCCTCAATCCTCAGGTTGTAGGCAGCACATGGCTGCCACTCCTGAGGGATTAGGTCAGAATGGTGTGCAGTTGGCCGTGCTCCTGTTTACCAGTAAGAACATGGGGCTGCTATGGCAGTCGGGTCACTTTTGGCTCACCTACTAGGATATCTGGGAAAAAAATTTCATAGTTACAGCATTTGTTTATTCTACAGAAATTTATTGGACACCTACTATTTGTTTGCCACTGTAAGTAGTAAGGTTATGCCTTTCATTGTGACCATTTCCAGACTTCTGAGGTCATCTTTCCTTCAAGCTTATGGAGGCTTCTTGAGACTCATTCCTCATGAATGTTAGGCGAGTTGGGGGTTATACTTGCTAGCTGTGAAGTTGGGGGCTTTACTTTGCTTCACTCACCTTGCCCTCCTCATCTGTGGAAAAAGTGCCTCCCTCAGGTGGGTGTACAGTGCCTGTACCAAGTGAGCAGGAGAAACCATAGCTGTGTTGATTGACTTTGGATTTTTAAGACAGGATCTCACTATGTAGTTCAGGCTGACCTTGAACTCACTATGTAGCCCAGGCTGGTCTCAAACTCACAGCAATCCTCCTGCCTCAGCCTCCTGAGTGCCAGGATCACAGGCGTTCGCCACCATGCCCGGCTAAACAAGAACATTAAAACAGACCTAATAATCAAGGTTGTAAACTTTTGAATTGGAGAGGAGGCTATGTTATTTGGTTGTTTTTGGTTTTGGTAGTGGGGATTGAACTCAGGTCCTTGTGCTTGTGAGGCAGGTGGTGGAACTGCTGAGCTAAATCCCTGGCCCTCTTTTGTAAAAAAATTGAAACGGTTTTTGCTATGTTGCCCAGCTGGCTCCAAACTAGATTCAGGTGATTCTCGTGCCTCATCCTCAATTGGTTTTGGCTACAGGTGTATACCACCATGCCTGGCCATTTTTCACTTCTGGATACTGTTTGATTTCTTTTTCAAATCTGGTTGTTGATGTTGAGCACTCTCAGGGGCCATGCTGCTCCTTCCTAGAAGGTTTCTGTTATACTCTTCTCAGTTTGTGTCTTGGAATTTCAGCACCCAAATCCCAGCGTATATCTCAGTTTGTTCATCTGTTTACTGCAGTTTGTTTTCTTTGTATCTTGGGTATTGGCCCCCCACCCCCCTTCCTTCCACCAGGGATCAAACTCAGGACCTGGCTCTTGCCAGGCAGGCGGGGTGCCACTGAGCTAAATCCCCGACCCTGGGATTTTCTTTTTGAGAGTACCTATTTTACCAAACTTGATCCTGGGGAGTCCTGAAGGAGTTGGGTTTAGTGGCTTTTCTGTTCAGTTGCATTTGCTTCTGTGGGCACAAGGGGGTGCTGTGGAGCTGGAATTCCTCGGAGTTCCTTCATGTCTTGGGTGTCTTTCTCCGCATAGAGTTCTGGGTGCCTCCCCTAAGACATAGGGCAGAGCAGGCCTCTGTTTACAGAGACGTGTCTCCCCATCTGTGTAGTGGGTGGAGGCAGGCAAGATTTCTGCTCAGTTCCTATTTTCAGCTTTTGGAGTCTCTCCTGCTGTTGAACTATCTTTCTGTTAACTGGTTTTCTGTGGGAGTTTCAGGCTTAGTAGCCTGCTTTAAGCACAGAGGCTGAAAGCCTTGTCTCCCTTTGCCCAGTGAATGATTACAAGCCCCAAACCTCAAGTTTCCAGTTGTGATGTGGGCCCCCGGGCAGCTCTGAGCTATGTTCCTTCTATTCTTGCTGACTAGACTGCAGGCATTTGGCATCTGGGAGTTCTTTTACTTTCCTTAGAGGTCAGTGGTGTTAGAGTGTATTTGCTATCTCTGTAATCTAGCATTTGAGCTAAGTATTTTGCTGGCGCAGGATTTTTAGAAATAGCTATCTTGGAAGCAGAAGTCTCTGATCACAATTTTGGCAGTTTTATCACCCATGAATTCAGAGGAGAAAGGTGAGGGCAGATTTGCCGAAGATCTACAGCCATGCTTATTGAAGTCTGCGTCCTTAGAGGATTTATACTCAAGGCCTCTCCTGGTTCTTTTGGTTTGCTGTTCTTTCATTCTCCTTTTCTGTGTACCTTGCTGACGGTGGTTAAATATTTGCCAGAGGGTTTGCTGCAGCCTTTCTCCCCAGGCTGTGAGCCCTCTGTCCACATGTAGCCCTCAGTGTGCTGTGCGTGGCTCCTGAGTGGAAGTGCCACTTAGCCATGCCAGTCCACTCCTGGATGTTGTAGTGTCGGCTGATGACCCTTAACACAGAAAGTGACAACACACGGAATACTGCCATTGGGAAGGACACTCATGGCAAACTTCAGAAAGTAGTACATAAGCAACCTTAGAAACAAACAGAAAGGGCTTTTCCTGAGAATCTGTCCAGCAGAAGTAAGTGCCTAGTGTCCCTCTGTGAGTACTGTAGGTGTTCACAAGATGGAAACCAGCAGTGTGCACTTCATTGCAGGATGAGGCTGCCTTACCAGGGAGTACACACCACTATCGGAAGTCACGCTTGCAAATGGAAGGTTGTACCTGAGGGTTTGTGAGGGGTGTTGGATGAAGGAGATGTCTTCTGTAAAGCAGTGCCCCCATGTCTGTGAATATGTGTGTGCACTGGGTAGAAAGTGATGCCCCCATATTGTGGTACTGGGGCAGAACCCAGCACCTCACACTGACCTGTCACACCTCTCCTTATCTCATTTTTTTGAAACAGGGTCTCGCTGAGTCAGTAAATTGCCCAGGCTTGAGTTATGCTATCTTCCTGCCTTGCCTCCCAGAGTACTGGGATTATGAGTGTGTGCCATGATGCCGAGCTACTATGATGCCCTTTTGTAAAGCAGTGACCTCTGTTTATTCTGGGTCTGCATATCTGTGTACTTGGGTAGGAATGATGCCTTGTTTGGAGCAGTTATCCACATGTATATCCACATGGGGTAGAAAGTGATACCTTTTTGCATAGCAGTGATCCCACCGCACACCCCATCTGTGTCTGTATGTGTGTGGAAACTGGGTTGATCAGAGTAGGTGGGGAGCTGAACAGAGGGCCCAGGAGCAAAAGGGGAATGCAGGGGCCACATAGATAAATAGGACAGGCTGCCTTCGAGACTCAAAGTGAGCACAGGGGTGATTGGGTTCATTTCTGCAGTCAGACACGCATTGGCTGTATTCTACAGCTTTTAAATAAAATATAGGAGAATTAAATAAGAGAACCTGCTGATCTTTATAATGCCAAGAAACAGGATTCTGGTCTCTCAAAACTGGAAAACTTGTTTAAACCTTCAGGATGGTGTCATTTGCTTTTTGCAGATGTCAGAGTTCACATGGCCAGGTTGGTCTGTACAGCTTAGGTGGTAGGTAGGATCACATTGACTTTTTTTTTTTTTTGAGACAGGGTCTCACTATGTAGTTGAGACTGACCTGGAACTCACTGTGTAGCCCAGGGTGGTCTCGAACTCACAGCAATCCTCCTGCCTCAGCCTCCAGAGTGCTAGGATTACAGGCGTGCGCCACCATGATCGCTGCACTGGTTTTGTTCCTTGAACAGGCATGGAGATTTGTTGTTCCTGTTTCCCTCGAACCTTGCTGGACCTTCTTCTGAAATGGAGACATCAACCTCAGTAGGGGTAAAGGCCTTTGGCGCTCCCAATGTGGTGGAAGATGAGATTGATCAGTACCTCAGCAAGCAGGATGGGAAGATCTACAGAAGCCGGGACCCACAACTGTAAGTGCTCTGGGGGTTCTGGGTTGAGCCTGTAGTGGTTGCAGCGGGTCAGGTCAGAAGGGAAGTACTGGTTGATAACATGTCCCTTGTTAATGGGCATCTGATGAAGATGTGGGAATTTTGAGTTTTACCATCTGTTTTCAGATTAAATTTCACCATAGGTTATTTTTTTAGCTTTTTATCATTTGGAACCTCAAAGTGTTCCATACCAAATGTTTTGAAGTATTTGGCTATTAAGGTATTTGGAAGGTGTCCAGGGGCAGTTGAGGGCTTAAACCAAGCCTCTACCTCTACCCTGATGCCCCTGAGATAGTGTGTCCTGAGGGCAGAAGTAGGAGCAGGTGAAGGGACTGAGGGTGGCGAGTCTGGTGGTGTAGAGGCTCCTGGCCTTTCCACAGCTGGTGGCTTTGGTGTTGTGTAGTGTGAGCGGCTGCAGCCTCTAGCAAGCGTCTTCATCTGTGGAAGATACTGCTCTGCGTAGTCACTGTCTTTTGGAGTTATCTCAGATCCTGATGCATGTATACATCTTTTTATTTTATTAATTAATTTATATTTATGTATCTATTTGGGGATCAAACTCAGGTCCTTGTGCTTGCAAGGCAGTCAGAATGTTTGCTTTTTTTTAAAATTTCACTAGTATAGTACATATTTGCAGTAAATGCAGCTTACAGTCATCTTGGGGAGTGGGTGCATGTATACTATGCTTT